CCCCAAAACCCCAAAACCCCAAAACCCCAAAACCCCAGTGACTTAGAATAAAAAGATATTTTAAAATATAAATTATAGTCAAGAGCATATTTTTTTAATTTTTTCAAGCTTGATAATCACTGGTAGGGTTGTAAAATACCATTGAGTTCATCTAAAATGTCTTAGTTTAAAATATTTTTATTTTTCTTTAAACTGCTATTCTTAGCTTTGTTTGCTTGAGTATGATAATTCAATTATCGATGTTACTCTTTTTCATTATATTAATGCTTAGGTATAACTGGTTGGCTCTATTACATTCTGAAGAAGCTAGTTTTAGTATCTAGATCTTTTTTTGCCTTGAAATTAAGTGTATTATTTGCCAAACTAATATCTTGAGTGTTAATGGTGTCAATTTTGCTATCAACAACAGAATTTGATTCCTTAAGCCTGTGAATTTTCTATTTTATTTAACTATTTAATCTTTCTACCATTGTGACTTCTTTCTCATGCTTCAGCTGCAATTATGGTTGCTAGCCCCTTCTAAAGTTTAAAATTTCTCTAAATTTTTAAAGATAGCTTTCGTTTCCAGCTCTGGTTGGAGATTCAAAGTTGAAGTTGTAATGGCTTTCGATGATTGATTTAGAAGCACAAACATTCAGGTTTCTTGTAACATTCGGCTCCAGTCTCTAATTCCTAATAAAATCAAAGCTTTTGTTATTCGTAGAAGATTCTATTATAGCAGTAAGTTTCTTCTGTGAATATTTCCTTTATATCTACTTGTAAAGTTAAGAGGTATTTAGTTCAGAATAATCTGATCCTTTTCTTTCTAAGTTTTAATTTATACTAATCAGAGATTAGACATTCTCATTCTTTTGTAAGGATTTGTATCTTGGCTTGCTTTTAACAGATATATCTTTTACACTTATACTTTTTATAAGCTCTTAATTTGTTTAAGGTATTATTTTGAACTTTATCTAGGGATTTTGAGCTTTTAATAAGTAGAAGGATTTATCTATTTTATTTAGGGATGAAGTCACCAAATCTTCAATACTATTTTTTCTTATTACAGGAATGGTTTTTCTGCTCTTTTCAAATTATGATAAGTACACATTCTTAGCATACTTTGATTCTTTATTTATTTAGTCTAAGTATCTGATTTTCTAAGGTGACTGATATTCATGCTTTCTTTAAATTTTTTAGTATGAATTTTTGAGGGGTTTTAAGATATTTTAAGATATAGCACTTTCGTCAAGCAAGGGAAGTGTAATGTTGGACTTGTTTATTGTTTGTTTTAATAGTTATTGATCTAGGTTACTTTTGATTCTAAGTTTTTGAATTGAATTATCTCATTTATGCGAATCTTTTTAGGGAAACTCGATCTTATTCTTGCTTTTATTATCTTTAGAATGAATTATTGATTGATAAGAGGTATTTGTATCTGTTTTGAACTCATATTGCAAAAAATCATCTGACTATAGACTATTTGTATGCTCATCTATCATATCATTGATAGACTTTTTGTAAAGGCTTTTTAGCTCTAAGAGATCTCTATGTATAATCTGATTTTCTTTTTTAATCTATATTTTAAACATTTTTATAATATCCCTCATTTGGCTTATAAAATACTCAGGGGTTTTGGGGTTTTGGGG